ATCATACTAACTTTCTTGGAAGCTTCCGGGATTCCTCCGGTGCCCTCTCGGGGTGTTTCTGTCTCGTGTTTTTGGCCTTCTGCAGACAGCGGTCCCCTGTCACTTCCTGTTTTTGAATTCCTCAAATTCAGATGGGTGGGTCAGTGTGAGGTCACCAGGAGCTGCACGATTGTGTGACCCCTCGCACAACGTTCTGCGACTGCAATCAAAAAACACCAAATAATCTTGTATTTTGTTTGGTTCCTTATGATTATGGTTAGGGTTGGGTAGGGGTTACATAGGGGTTAAGGGTGTTATTGTTGGGATTTGGGTTTTTCCCAAAGAAATGAATGGATGGTCCTCACAAAGATATACACTGCCCGGCCAAAAACAAGTCGCCATTTGAATTTTTCGTTGGACCGCCTTTAGCTTTGATTATGGTGCACATTTGTCATGGCATTGTTTCCACAAGCTTATGCAACATCTCACCCTTTATTTTCATCCAGATTTGCATTCATTTTTCAACGAGATCCTGTATTGACAAGTGAGCTGAACCACTCCATGAAGCCTCCTTCAGCACATCCCAAAGACCTTCAATGAGGTTAAGGTCACATCTCTGTGGTGACCAAGTCATACGTGAAAGTTATTCGTCATGCTCCTTGAACCACTCTTCGACAATTCGAACCCAATGAATCTTGGCATTCTTGTCCTGGAATGTGCCCATGCCAACAGGGAAGAAAACAATCCATTGATGATGGATGGAGGTGTAACCTGGCCATTCAGTAGATTCAGGTACTCAGCTGACTTCACTTTATTGCTGCATAACACTGCTGAGCTGTAATAATGATCCAGTTATTGGCCCTTAATTATTTGCTGATATAAATTCAAATTGCGATCTATTTTTTGGCCGGGCAGTGTATATATCTTTTATCATATATATAATTACAAACCTGTATATGTGTGTCTGTCTGTGTGTGAGCTACATACAATTGGGTGTGTGTGTGTGTGTGTGTGTGTGTGTCAGCCACACCCCAGGAATGATGACTAAAATGGTCCCCTGGGAGAGGACTGCTATGACGGCTGTTTGGAGCTGCAGTCTTCACAACAGGAGACTTGCATTTTAGGAGACCAAGTCCCTCTTCTCATAATCCTGCTAATGTTTTTGGACAGATAATTTGGATTTGTTAAAAAAAAAAAAAAAAAAAAAGCGGAATTTATAAATGCATTTAATTTTATTTTCAGCTCTTTGACGTGAGCAGATCAGGCCAGCAGGTGGATGGGATTAAATGACGCGGCAGAGACTCGGGCAAGGGGTTCGGGACCCGGCGTGTGCATGCTGGGGGCCTGGTGACGCCCCCCCCCCCGCTGCTCAGAGCTGCAGGGGTTTGTCTCTTTTCAAAGAGAATTCAGGCCCTGCGGGATTCCTGCAGATAATCCCCAGGTCACAAGCACAAGTCAGTCACTGCACCATGGAGGAATCATTCCTTCTTTCTCCTCCTTTTTTCTCTCATTCTGGACCTGCTAATCATCTCATGTTTGACTCTCCCCGGGGCTGGACAGTGAATAGAACCCTTTGACACTCAATGGCAGGGACTTAACCAAACAGTTGGGGTGAAGGAAAATATGCGTTGTGACTTTGGCACAAGGGAAACATGCAAGAAGATAAGAGATGTTGGGTCTTCTGAAGGGCTCCAACTAGGATCAGGTAACAAGGTCTGGGTGTGTTGTCTAGAACCCAAAGGACATGAGGACAGTTTTTAGATCAGTGATCCAGGGTGATCCCTGCTTAAGGCCTGCGATAGGCTCCAGGCCTCACTTTGACTATGACCAAAATAAATAGTTAGACCAGTGCTTCCCAGTCCAGTCCTCGGGCACCCTCACTCAGCCCATCTTTTTGCTCCTTCCGAGTTCCCTGTCAGACAGTTCACATTTTTGCAAAAACGTGGAGCTGAAATTTGTATCAAATATCTGTAATCGATCATGGTCACTATCTGTACTGTATTGTGTGGTTTATATGTTCATGATTTGTTGTATTTTCTAATAAAAATGTTAATCACAAAAAAAAAAACGTGGAGCTGGGAGCAAAAATGTGGACTGTCTGCGGGTCCCCAAGGACTGGGTCGGGAAACACTGAGCTAGAAGACAGATAGGTGATTATTGTTCAGTAATTTAAATTTATGCATTGCTGATGCGGGATGAGAACTCGTCCCCTTGTTTGACTCAACGGCAGCTCTCTCCCGCTTCGCCATGGCAACTCAGTCCTGTACGGAGGCTTGTAGGAGCAGTTTAAATGAAAATCAAACCTGCGCCCCAGAAGTTCTGGAAATATTGAGCTGCGGGTGTTTTGTTGCAGCTGCAGGGTCCTGCTGTGGCCGGGGGTTCAGTCACAATGAGCCCCCATGTGTTGCTGTCAGTTGTTTCTCCTTCACTCCACCTCAGTCTCAGCTTAATCGGTTGCCTCAGCTAACCTTCCCCCCCGTCCCCTACCCCTGAGTGCTCCATTAATTCCCAAAAAGAGTGCGTTTCGAGAGATCCAGCCAATGGTCCAACATGGTCGACCCCTACACCTTACCGCGAAAGTCCTCCCGGTTAACCCACAATGCCACACAACACCAGGAAGACGCGGCTTAATTCTTGGCCCTGTCAGCACTTATTAACCCCAGGCTGTGAGCAAAGGCAGTGCTGAGCCTAGTTACCCTTATGGTGATGGCAACTCCGTATTTGAAGGGAAGAAGTACAGCCGTGTTTTCACAGGTGATAGATACTGTAGATAGATAGATAGATAGATAGATAGATAGATAGATAGATAGATAGATAGATAGATAGATAAAAATGCCAAAAGACTTGAATTTTGTTTGGTTACTTTTGGTTAAGGTTAACGCTAGGTAGTCATGATTGGCATAGGTTAAGGGTGTCGTGATTGGGATTTTTCCCATAGAAATGAATGGATGGTCCCCACAAAGATATAATTACATACCTGTGTGTGTGTGTGTGTGTGTGATGGACTGGCATCCTATCCTGTCATCTTGTGTGTTCCCCCTGCCTCTTGCCCAGTGTCTCCTGGGACAGGCTCCATGTTAACTATAACCCCATACTGGATCTGTTGGATGCTTGGGTGGATGGACACGAGTCACCTGAAAGAGTTCATCTGTGTCATCTGTGCACCTCAGTAAATAAAAGAGTTTTGTCCAAATAGGCAGTTCTCATTAAAATGGGGTTTCATGTCGGTGAACGGTTGGGAACCACATCTGAAAATGCGGAAAAGAGCATTACTGGGAAAACATCACGGAGGTAACAAACTGTTTGTCCGTCCTTTGGACTATTTGATAATTAAATCTTGTAATTGATAAAACCACACCTTTAGCAATCTCCCTGGGACTCTGTTCCAAACCCCCCCGCCCCTTAGAAAAGCAGAGTGAGACAGCTGACAGGTGGCTTGTGCCTCCCCTCCCCCCCCCCCCCTTCACAAATGGCTTCTCCAGGGACCAGTTTATACAGTAGCATATCTCCCCCTGGGCTAACAGCACAAAAGGGTCTGATAGCTTAATATAAGAGGCCATGTTTTTACCACCTTCCTGATCAATATCTCTAACCCTTGAGTTAATGGAGGCTTGCTTGCGATGAACTATCTGCTTAGGTGCTTTTGTGGTTTAACAAGAGGTAAACCTGAAAGGAGTCCCTCTGTCAGCATGCCTCGTTTGCCATTTTTCCATCCACTAAGGCAAGGCAGGGCAGCCAGATCTCAGAATAGTGTGTCTGAGTGTCCAGACGGACAGGTGGCCCAAGGCCGTTGTTAGACGGGCAATCCCACAATGAGGGATCCCGTGATGAGCGATTCCGCGACAGCAGATTCCGTGACAAGCTACTCCGCATGTGTTACATCACTTTCCACTCTCAAAGCGTCCACATCCGGCTCAGAATCAGCAAAGTCATGACACAGCCAGGCGAATACAGTAAGTAAACACGATGCCTCCGGAAGGATGTAAACCAAGACACTACTGGGAGTGCGCCCAGAGCTTTGAGCACAATGACACCTTTTCCCCTCAAGGCATGAACAGACCTTCATTGTACCCCACCGACCTTAGACGCATGTTCTTCTTCCCTTAAGGGAGCATTCCCATAATCCTTTGCTTTTTTTTTTTGGTGACGGGGGCTTCTTAACATTGACTTCAAAGGGCAGCTGCATAGTTTATTTTGCTTTTGAAAAGGTGATACAGTTGATCCAATGATCTTAGCCTTTAATTAGAGTATGTCAGAGTACGATGTGCTGAAGCGGGGCCTTCAACCAGAGTTAGAGGGTCTCTCTAGCCACTCACATGGTTGTTCGGTATAGATGTCCTGCTTCCGCCACAATCCGCCCACGTACTCCTGGGTGCAACCACAGTCACATAAACCCTATGGCTCTTGTGAATGGAGCAAGTCCGCTGACCGTCTGCAAGCATGATGGTGTGGGAACAGACAGGCTGGAGTTCTGACGTGTTGCTGAGACTCAGATCTGCTTCCTAGTTGAGGGAAAGGAAAAGGAATAGCGTGTTTCCTTAGCTCTAAACTATGAGAAACTGAACCTAGTGATTTGACAGGAAATAGCATTCCATATGTGTATAGGCTGTGGGCTGAGGGGCAGAACTAAACCACGGTCATTTCTCCTTGATCTCATACATTCTTCATCCAGATTAGCTCTGCAGCACAACACAGATATTTCGGCGATATTTAAAAGCATCTGGTTAAATCTCAGCGAAATGATTTGAAGGCGAGTGTGACTTTGCAAATTATTTCATGGTTGCTGGACTCTTTGAAGTGCTTCCTCTGGAAAAGACATTCTTTCGAAACTTCCTGCCATTGTCATTCATGTCAGCAGCAGTCTCTCTCTGTATCCTATCTGGGGAAGGAACTTGAGTCAGAACAGTGAATGACACATTTTTCCCCCACGTGTTTTTATTTCATATTCACAGTTTGAGTTGAAGCGCCCCCTGCCCCCCCCCAAACTGGCATATGACTCTGTATTTCCGTTTCTTTTCCAGAATCATGTGAGAGCCTGAGATGTGAAAGCAACCTGAGGAACCACATACAAGGCAGTGGGAATACACTAGGAACCATCTCTGTTCCTGTTTCTAATCCAGACACATTTTCTGCTGCCCGTTTTGGCCCCCGGAGGTATGGAGGGCCACCGGGCTTGTCATCGGACACTTCGGGGAATGTGGTCCCTAGTGTGGTGGGTCTTGCTCTTGGTGTCCTTCACCCCTGGAGCCAATGGGAGCCAGTCCTTCAACAGCTTCCACCCCGAGAGGCAGGAGTGGTCCTTCAACCACCTGACGGTGCACCAGAGCACAGGGGATGTGTATGTCGGCGCCGTGAATCGGGTGTATAAGCTATCGCCAAACCTGACGCTCCTGGTGTCACACAACACGGGCCCTGAGGACGACAATAAGAACTGCTACCCACCTTTGATTGTGCAGCCGTGCTCCGAGCCGCTGGCACCCACTAATAACGTCAACAAGCTTCTCCTGGTTGACTATTCCCAGAACCGGCTCCTCGCCTGTGGAAGCCTCTACCAGGGCGTGTGCAAGTTGCTCCGTCTGGATGACCTCTTCATCCTGGCAGAACCTTCTCACAAGAAGGAACATTACCTCTCCAGTGTCAACCGGACGGGAGCCACGTTTGGCGTGATCGTGCCCTCCCAGAGTGGGGCCGGAACGCTCTTTATTGGCACTGCAGTGGGTGGCAAACAGGACTACTTCCCGACAGTCTCCAGCCGCAAGCTACCTCGCGACCCCGAGTCCTCAGCCATGCTGGACTACGAGCTCCACACCGATTTTGTGTCATCACTCATCAAGATCCCCTCCGACACGCTGGCGCTCGTGCCGCACTTTGACATCTACTACATCTACGGATTCTCCAGCGGCCCCTTTGTTTACTTCCTCACCGTTCAGCCTGAGATCCCAGAGGGTGGCGCTGCTGCGGCCGCTGGCTCTGCCGGTGACCTTTTCTACACCTCCCGCGTCGTGCGCCTCTGCAAGGGCGACCACAAATTCCACTCGTACGTCTCCCTCCCGCTGGGCTGCTTGAGCCACGGCATTGAGTACCGTCTCCTGCAGGCTGCCTTCCTGGCCAAGGCGGGACGCAGACTTGGTGCCACTCTTGGAGTGAGTCCCGAGGACGACGTTCTGTTTGCCGTGTTCTCCAAGGGCCAGAAGCAGTATCACCGGCCGCCTGATGACTCGGCCCTTTGCGTCTTCGCCATCCGGGACATCAACGCCCACATCCAGGAACGCCTCCAATCCTGCTATCAGGGCGAGGGCAACCTGGAGTTGCACTGGCTGCTGGGCAAGGACGTGCAGTGTACCAAGGCGGTAAGGGCCTGCCTCCCGTTTGCTCTCTCGATGATGCTATGATTCCTTCTGCCTGGTCTAGTGCCCCTATTTTGCTTTGCCTTTGACAAATTGTTGATGTACAGAAATCTTTCAAGAGTTCAGGTCAGTTTGCTATGGTCTTCAAGGAGGGTGACATGCCACACATACGTAGGCACACAGATGCAGTGCTAAGCATGTGTGCGCAAGAATTTACCCTGAGGGAGAACGTCTGGACAAACACCGCCAAGAACCACTGCAATCCCACTAATGTGCTCAGCCAGAGCTGCGAATCACAAAAACACAATCCAGAGTCAAGAATAATTTCTTGGCTTTTTCCAGAACAACTGCAGCTTTGATCCAGCTTCTCAGGGGGGTCCCAAAGTCGTGCTCAGTCCTCACGCATCAAAAAAAAAAAGTTTAACATGTGTTAATTGCTCACGGGTTATGTTCATCTGCCACTGCATGTCTAACCAGATCAAGCTAGTAAACTCTATAAGCCTCACCCGCTGAGAGGAATAGGACTGGGCCAATTTGTAATGACACACGTTATTGTGGTATCTATTGTGGGCCTTATTATCTGACGGTTCTGATGAACTATTCTTCGCGTAATTGCCAATAACGGCTTAGCAGTTGCACTGGTGCAAGGCACACATTAAGTCTATAATGACTGAAAAAACATTTGCAAATTAGAGAGGGGATTTGCGTTTCTTGGCAAATATCAAAGAGATGCAGTCACTTCGCAATGCAATCGAATAAATATGGCACTGAGAGAGAGAAGAGGGTGATAGAGAGAGGCAGAATAGGCGGGTGCGAGAAGAAGAGAGGGGGAGAGAGGTGGTGACAGAGAGACAGGGGGACTAGGATGGTAAAGAAAAGGTAGAAGGAGGCAGAGATAGAAAGGCAGGGAGAGAGAGGGAGAGAGAGGGAGACAGCAAGAGTAAAAGATGGCCTGAGCAAAGGAGAGAGGAGACAGACGAGAGAGGGAGGAAAGTCGACAGAAGGGAAGAGGGGAGGGAGAGACTAAGGGAGAGAAGGATACTGAAGGAGAGAGGTGGAAATAGAGAATAAGAAAATGGGAAATGGGGAGTGAGAGAGAGAGAGAGAGAGGGGAGAGAGAATAAAAGAGAGGAGGGAGAAAGGAGACAGAGAGGAAGACAAAGGAGAGAGAATGACAGAGAGACAGGCTAACAGAAAGAGACAGAAAGAGATGGAGGGGAAGAGGAATATGAAACGATTTTACGTGGGTGTTCTCCTCATAATCTGCCTCTCTGCAGTATGGGATGTGCGTCTGTGACATCTTGTTGGCACTGTTATTTCTGAGATGTGTCCCAAGGGGTTACTATCCTTTTGTGTTGCAGTTCTTTAATTGTTGAAATGGATTAAAAGACAATTACAAACACTAATTGGCCCATAAACTGTGTATGTGTGTCTGTTTGTATGTCTGTGTGTGTGTGTGTGTGTCTGTGTGCTGGATCTTCTCCTTAATAACGTTCTCTCTTGGATGAGAAGCTCCATTTTGCCTTTGTGTTAAACCGACCCCTCCTGGGATCTTTCTTGGCTGTGTTTTTCAGTATCCCTGAATGATTAGCAACGTGCCAGGGATTGACCCAGTCAGATGGGGGTGCTGTTCTCAGCCTGTACCATCTGCGTCTCCTCCCATTTTAAGAGGGAGAGGCCAGAATTCAGAGGTCAAACATCACCTCGAGAGAACTTAATCCCCACAGGTTTATAAATGCTCATCCTGTCAGTGTTACCACAATGAAGGAAATCTTCTCGAACAGCCACATGGGATTATCGACGATTATAGGGTAGGGCCGTCAGTGAAATGCCCCTTTTTCAAAGCCGGAACCTAAGGGATTTGTGATTGTGGACATACATACATGCACTGACCCCTGAATCATGCACCCTCCCAACATATGCTGTTTTCGCTACAGTAGATGTTGTAAATTATTTGCAGACTTACCCAAAACTGGAATGTGGAGAATGTAAATGGTGTGTTTCATGAAATCCTGCTAATTCTTATTCAGTACACTGTTTGATTCACGAGATGAATTAGACATCTTCTTTAGTTCATGTTAAAATATTTGTGTGCAAATTTAAATGGACTTTAGCAAATGGACTGCAAAAGATATTTTCAATATTTTGATGGAACTGATAAAATCGGGAATGTACTGCGTGATGAATATTTCCTAAAATGAGGCGACATTTGTGCCTTTAACTTTAAACTGCTGGGTTTAAATACCCCTGGTATTGTGCAGCTCGTGTTCCTGAGGGCAAATCAGAGAACACTGTTGTCAGGTGTCCTGTTACCCTCTCAGTTAAACAGGGGGATGAGGTTCAGAGATCATGGCTAAGGTTAGGGTCATCGACTAAAAATTTTCTTATAACTGTGTCTGTATACTATATCTTTATATAGCAAGGATTATCTAGGCAGATAGATGTGTAAGACCCCAGATTCGCACATCATTTTGACAGGATGTTAATTATGATGTCCTGCTAATTTAATGTCCTGCTAGTTTTAATCACAGAACCCAGACATTTCCGGTCAAATGGCAATGTTTTTATGAGAATGACCTTTTTAAAAACTGATGTCTTGATTTTGATGTGGCCCTGATTGGGCGACGCAGAGAATTATGGGTCCCATCTCCCATTCTAACCGAAGCTTCACTCTTCCATGACAGCTTGTTGGGCCGTAATGTTCCGAGTGAGTGAATCCGCCTTTGGATGCGGCAGATATGAAATGCTTTTCACACGTGTGCTGAGGGCTGCCCCAGTGGCTATTACCAAAGGCTGCTTAACCTCAAAAAATCCTTTTCTGTACCAACAGGCGTGTGAGCAAGTATCTGCTAACTGCTATTCAGGAAAAGATTTGTATTCTGCTGGTCCAGTTACACTGCTGCCGCTCTCAGTGCCTGTGCTGTAAGACTTCATACAGACACGCACATTGTCACTCATCATCTGTGATGCTGCTTCGAGGTTTAGCGTAAGACCCTTGACTTTTCCTGCATGCCAATGGTTACTGCCGAGTCCCAGTCCGTACGCCATATGCAGGCTTTAAGCTTTTCCAGCATGTGACACTGGTTCTACTCTCGCCAGAGACAGTCCTTATGTTTGCAGGCATTTCAGCATGTCCTGATAGCGCCGCACTTGCCAGACGTTATCTAAGGATGGCTTTGCAAATTAGTTTACATTTCATGTACACACAACCTTTGAAAATGGACTTTGAAGTCGCCATGCATTCTGTGGGGAAAAAAAATCCAAGAGCGTTAATAGGAAATCAATTGAATAGTTGTTAAATGTGTCTAGAGCACACTCATGTATTTGTAGCAGTGGTGCTCTTGGGTAAGATATTAATAATAGTAAAAACTCTGTGTATTTTACAGCAGAAAGACATTCTCCTAGTGTTTATCAGCACATCAGAAATTCTAAAAATATTATTGCAGAACAGAAATATCCCAAATGCATAGTCCACTTCTTTTGTATGATAATCCCAAAGGCATTCTCTGGATCCTTTCAGTGTCTTATGATGTGCTGCAAAGCAAAATGTGAAGAAATGGAAATACACCTCATTATCGTTATAATTATAGTAATAATAAAAAGCAGCCACAGAAACAGACATACAGAATGAACACTGAAAACAGTGCTTGTCTCTGTGTGTCATATATGTGTGGAAATGTTTGTATATGACACCTACTCTATTCTTGTTCTACATTTACATATGCATAGCTGTTGTGCCCAGAATCACTGAAAAATTAACATCACAGTAGCATCTAATGTTAATTAGCTCTCTTGCCAAAAAATAAACCGAACACGTTGAATTGGTAAGTGGCATAAACAATATACATGATAATAAACACAAGGTCATTGATTTTTTGGAAGGTCTCACTTTCCCTCGCACCTGAGAAATAAATTTCATTTCCCTTCCTTTCCCCCACACCCTCGCTCACTCTGGTTCCTTCAGTTAATTTCATTTCGTTGTGCTTTATCAACACAAAATATGTAAATAATATGCCAGAGATTATTGTTGTTGAGTACACTTGTGACTTGAACTGTTCTGACTGGTGAGTGCAAATTAAGTTTAATAATGGTTTTATCAGTGTTCTCTCTGTGTCTCTCTCACTCTGTCGCAGCCCGTGCCTATTGACGACTCTTTCTGCGGACTGGACATTAACCAGCCCCTGGGAGGCTCAGAGCTGGTGTCCGGCCTGGTGGTGTACACCGAGAGCCGCGAACGCCTCACCTCCGTAGCAGCCTATGACTACGATGGCTACTGTGTGGCTTTTCTGGGCACCAGAAAGGGCCGGCTGAAGAAGGTGAGTCCCGGCAGGGAGAAAGAGGCTATCGCACTGCATGTGTCCTTTAGTTGTATTGGACCAATCAGAACAAGCCTGGAAGAGGCACTGAAATCGAATGGGATAGGATGTTGTTGGAATGAGAGCATTGATTGGAGGATTTGTGCAGGTTTAAGGGGGCTGCTGATTGGGTCTAGAGGGAAGGTCTGCTGTCCTGTTTATTCATGAACACTTTCTGATCACTTCTCGATGCACTATTATTATATTGCATTTCTGCGGCGTGATTGGTCACAACCTCAACGCAGTTAGTTGCCCAAAGATTCTGGGCTTGAGACATTTCAGAAGCAGGCTTCTCCTCTGGTCAGGTGTTGTTGTCGTTTTTGTCGCCTCCATGGTGATGCTGAGTTCTGATGTATCTCAATCAAGTCACTGAAAGAACACGTAAAGATCCAGGTCCACACTATTCTTAATCTGATGCTTATTAAAAAGCAAAATTGATTAGAAGTGAAGAAACCAACATGGTGTGCTTAAAATGGCTTGATATAGTTGCACTTAAGAATGGTGATGTCACCTTGAAGTGTGCACTCCGGCAAAAAGGATGAACAAGGGATGGGACCAAGGGGACCAGACACCTGGGCGGATGCACAGGGCTGGGGACAGAAGGGACACTGGGCTGAACAGAGCATTGCAGGACCCACAGGGTACATAGAGTAGATAGCACACAAGACCCAAGGGGCAGAACCACCAGACAGGACAGGACGCACAGCACAACCATGGACATCTGGAGGCACCGAGTCAGGCGAGGAGGCAGCCAAGGGCACAGCCAGCTTCCTGCATTTCTTCCTCCTGCGGCTGGAGATAGCAGGCAGAGCTGCAGTGAGCTGCAGGGAGCCAGTGGGCAGAGCTGCAGTGAGCTGCAGGGAGCCAGTGGGCAGAGCTGCAGGGAGCCAGTGGGCAGAGCT